CAAGTCAGTAATATGCCCATAATATCTCTTACTTAGAAACCCTACATTTGACAAAATAGCCCTTGTTAAAAAAATGAGACAGTTCAGATTAGAAAAACTATAATTTTGTCTTGCCTTAATAAACCTAACAAATAATAAAACTCTGATTATCAAAAAGTTAGCAACAGGTACTATCAAAAGATAGGAAGACTCCCACAGACATCACCCTAAAAAAGTAAAAAAAAAAAAAATACACTTCTGAAAAGAAAAGGAAGATGATCTTTTGGGAGAAAAATACTCTCTTGTTTTATTTTGACCTAAAGAGCCCAAATAAGCAGGCGGTCTTTGCATTTTCAATGGTGATGGCTCAGAAGCAGTAGCACAAGAACGGTGGACTTTCGATAACTCTTGGCTGTTGATTATTTTCTGAGGGTGAGCATGGCTTTCCTTAGATAGTACCTTGTTAAGAAGGAAGACCACTTCTCTTTTATTAGGATAGCTGAGAGTTTCATTATCACAGAGGAACAAAATAAATATATATAGGCATATATATATATTTCTGCCTTTTATACAAAAGAGTAAGTTGAAAACAATTTTTACGTAGCTCATTTTTCAGTCCTTGTTTCTTACGACATCTGTAATTTAAGTAAATGTGTCAGTAAGAAACCCACAAAACTATTGAGTAAACATACATGACACATGATACCATGGCTCCTATGACAGTAGCCAAAAAAAGAACAGATTTCAAAACACAATTGCATTAGCTATACCAAAGATTTTGAAAGGTTATTATCCTATAAAAATGAAAGATCTTGTTTGGTTTAAAAGCTAATAACAAAAATGCAACACTTTTAGGATAAAATGTTCATATACGTCATTGCACGTAGGTTCTATTTCAGTTTTCTTTTTTTCTTGTTGAGATTCCAAATAATAAAACTGTTTGCAAATTTTTGGTTTCCTTGTACCTTCTTATTTCTTTAGCTAAATTAACAGATATTCTGAGTATCTGTTTTCATACATTAAGCCTTAGAGTGAGGTTGGTTATATTCTTGCATTCTTGAGAGTAACTCACAAATATGTAGTCACATTCCAATCCCTGAAAAAAGGGATAGATTATATTGTGTATATTTAGGGAAAGTAAAAAAGATATAAAATTTTGAAAAGTATATTTACTTCTAAAATGGGCTAGTTAGAGCACTTTGGTTCAGAGACACTTTTTCAGCTTTGGAGATGTTGACATTCCTTATTTCACTTCAATCTGAGGGCAGTGACAAGTACCCAGGGCATGGCAGACACTCTGTCAAGATTTGAGGGCCTATGAGTGCAGAAAACAGAGACGCTGCTCCCAACTACAATCTGCTGAATATGTGTGCGAATTAATTATTATTGGGCATAAACAACAATCATGAGGTATAAAATGGAGAATTATTTTTACTTCTCTGCAATGAGGGAAGACTTCTCAGAGGAGTTGGCACTTTTTTTCAAGCTTCAAGAAATGGGGATAATTTCAACAGGTGAAGAGAGAAGAAAGAAGAATCTATGCACGGAGTGAAGCACAGGGATTTGAAACCATGTGGTTGAATTTTGTGGGGGTTTTTGGTTTTGTTTTTTAAAGACCAAGTCTTTTATTTTATATTTTAAAGATTTTTTTCTGATGTGGACCATTTTTAAAGTCTTTGTTGAATTTGTTACAATATTGCTTCTGTTTTATGTTCTGGTTTTTTGGCTATGAGGCATGTGGGATCTTAGCTCCCCCACCAGGGATCGAACCCGCACCCCCTGCATTGGAAGGCAAAGTCTTAACTATTGGACTGCCAGGGAAGTCCCTAGTTGAACTTTGAATGATGTTTGGAGTCTAAGGAGTTAGAGGAAGAGTAGAGGAAGATGAATCTGGAAAGGTAAGATAAAATGTGATGCTCACCACGACCACTAAGCCATCTTGCAAATTTCTGTCCTTTACAGATACAAAAGCCATCCTTTTATGGGGGTAGGAGGTGGTCAGAGTTGGGGGGTAAGGTTTGACCAAAAGGGATAAATAAATATGTCATACTCTTTATATTAAATTACTACTTAAAGGAGGATTAAAAAGAAAAAATCCCTACATTTAAGAAACGTATACTACTCTTTCCCAAAAGACAAAATATCGAGCTATTCCTTATTTTGTTGGCAAACATGTCAAATATATTTGTATTTCCTTGTCAAAATGCAAACTGCAGACAACATAGACATGATATAAAATAACAGTGTACTTAAAGTTTCTACACCTCCCTTGCTTCTCCCAACAGGCTAAGGTTATTCCCACCTCAGGGGCTTCACACACATTGTTCTTCTAACCTCTGCATCCTTCTCAGATGTCAGCATTCAACCTGTAGCTCTTGGTATGGCCACCCTGCCTACTTGATCTAATTAGGTCCCTCTTCCTACCCACCCTCACCCCCCCACCCCCTGGTTCTCTACCTCAGCCCTCTATGTGCTTTTTGGGACTTTGACTTTTGTAATTCATATTAACTTGTTCCTTGCCATATGCAGTGACTTTCTACCCCATGTCTGTAAGCTCCTTGATGGAGGGAGATTCGTCTGTTCTTTTCAACACTCCACATATAATACCTGGAACAGGACCTGACATATTACAAAGATTCAATAACTATTTGTCAAATTAATAATTTTCAAATACAAAGATATGTGGAATTGTCATACCTAAAAGTTATATCTTGAAATTAACAAATCAGACTTTTAAAATTTCCTAGGGTCAGTTCTTAGGCAAAGAGTGAGTATAGGAGGAAAAGGAAAATATGCTTATGCTTAAAAAATGTTTCCTAAAAGAATATTTAATTAAATAATAAAATAATTATGTATAGTTATATTTAATAATATATTGTAAAATCATGTAACTATATATCAATATATGATTTACATAACATAGTTTTAGTATTTCTTTGGTTTAAATTAATAATTAATTCCTTTCTGATACTCAAGGGATATATCTATATTTTTCTTCACTAAAGAATATATTTCTTGATATATAAGATATATGAGAAGGATAAAAGGAAAGGTTTTGATGAGATTTCCTCTGGCTTATCTTCTTTTCCATTCTCCCACCAAAAATAAGGTAGCAGAAGTGACTTCAAATATATCACTGCAAACTCATGAATGTCAAGAGAACAGTCAGGGTTGCAAATGTTGAAATAGACTATCAGAGAGCTCAGATGCCTTTCTTTATCTGGTAAAAAGTTAAAATTCATCCCCATCTTAAAATTCACAAGTGTAAAGCAAACCCTCCTCCATCACCCGATATGACACAGAACATTTATTGTTCATATTTATAAAAGAATCTACTGGTTTATACTTAAAGAATATGTACTAAGTTTTAATCATCATTTATATTAAACAGTCCTATCTAGAAGAAAATATGTTTCTTTACTTCAAATAGATGGCAACACTGGAGCTCTACCTGGTGAAAACTGTGTTCTAAAAGATAATCAGATGAAATTAGGGGAGAAGCAAATATGTTAAGTCATGATAATGTGACCCTCCATGTGTCAACGATGTTTAAAACAGTTGAGTTGGTCTTATAATACCAAGGTTTGCTGGATCATCCTCTAGGCTAAAGTGTAAAATTAAAGTCCATTTTTCTTGATAGCTTCTACACTGGTCTGAAAATATTGTCCCCGAAGTCTTCATCATGAAGTTCCTTCTTTTATAGCTATATAATTTATCTACCTTAAAAATGCCATTCTGATTTTCCTCAGATGTTTGCCTTCTAAGCTAGATTCTAAGAGCAAGTAACTCCAATTTCTAACTGTGACAATGAGCGATTAAAAAAAAAATTAGTTCTAGTCTTTGTTTAAAGAAGCATTGAAACTTTCGGTCGTAAATCTGCAATTGTGTGGGGGACACACACACACACACACATTCACATAGATACACACGTACAGCATATGCTTCTCTCACACATCTTTGGAACAACAGGAAACTTAAAATAAATACAGCTGGGCACCAGGAATACAATGTGCTGGGCAAACATATACTCCTATTAACGTAAATATATTCTTCAGTGTTTCCTGCCGGGCCCACTTAGTAATGAAAAGCAAGCAATCCCCATTTCTCCCACAAAACACCCCACATGCTCTCCAAACAACCACCCCTAGCAACTGGATGTGGAGAGGAACGGAAAGGAACAAAAGGCGCTGGGCTCCAGCTCAGGAGTGAGTCGCCTTCTCAGACCCTGGCATTTTAAAGGCAGCAACAGAAGGTCATGCTGGGCATTAGCTATGTCTCAAAAAATATGTATAGTAAGGCAACTATTAGAGTCACCCGTATGTAGTAACTGCTTCTTTGGCCTCACGTAATTCGCGAGTCCTTGAATCGAAACTACCACGTAGAAGGGACGTCTGCCAAACCCCCAATGGGGACTCGTTCTCCGCCCTCTGCGCCCCTCTCCTCATCCCAAGATGCGACCCAAGGGCTTCAGAGTGACCCGTGCTGCCCGCGAAGCAGCCTTCCAGTAAATCTCCTGAACTGGCTCTCAGCTCCAACACACCCTCGGCTCGCTTCTCTTACCCCAGCCCCTGCTGAGCGCAAGGCAGGGGCCAGCCCCTCCGCCAAGGTCCGGGAGCCGAGGGGGCTCCAGGAGACCCGGGAGGCCAGACCCAGAAATTCCCGGCATCTCCAACCGGGCTGGAAGCAGCCGGCGCGACCCCAGGGGAGCCAAGACCCTCAGGGCAGAAAGAGGTTTTCCCTGGGAGCCGGCCCGCGTCGGACTCGGAGGGCGAGAGGCAGTGGCGGGAGCGGGCCAACCTGCCGGCGCCTGGCGGCTTGAGTTTTCAGTGGCTACAGGTTGCCTGGGAGCAGATGCCCAGCTCCCGAGGGCGGCAGGCGCTCGGAGCGCTCGGGAGCGAGACTTGTGTTGGGGGAGGGGGGGTGAGAGATGGAGGGAGGCAGGGGAGCCCGAAAAGGCCCCACGCAGGCGGGGACAGGGGAGAGATCCGAGGGCGCGCCTCCCAACCGGGACCCGCACAGACCTTGGCGCCGCAACCTGCGCTTCTTGCGGCCGAAGATGCGCACTTTGGAGAAGATGTCCACCAGGTTGCCGTTGCAGAGCCCGCGGTTCCTGCTGGGACTGCTCCGCCTCCTGCCGGCGGACGGCCGGTCCCAGTGCTGCTCCCGCGCCTGCCGCTTCTGGCGGATCAAGCCGCTGGCGATGGCCGCGGCCATGGTGGCCCCGGGACCGGGTCCGGAGGAGGGCGGGGCCGAGGGGAGGGAGCTGGGGACACAGAGCGGGAAGGGCCGGCGAGGAGGGCAGGCCGGAGGGGCCGGGCCGGGGGCTGGGAGCGCTCAGTCCCGCCTGGGACCCATCGCCCTCTCCGCGGAGCGCGGGGCCGGGCCCGCAAATGCGCCCGGGGCGCGGCGGGGCGAACGCCGGGAGCCCGAGGTCGTGCCCGCCGCCGCCGCCGCGTCGGAGCCGGGACTGGGGCCGGGGCCGCGGGCGCCGCCGCTCGCGCCGCCTTCCTGCCCGGCCCGCCTCCCGGGCGGGAGGTCGAGCCGGCTGCCTTCTTCCCGAGCAAGGGATGGAGGGCAGGTGCCGGTCGGGTCCCGCGCGTCGGTCCGCCCAGAGCGCGCTGGGCAGGACTCAGCGTCGGACTCGAGCGGCCCCCCGGCCAGTGCCGCCGCTGCCGCCCGCTCTCGGAGTCCGCCGGTGATCGTCAAGTGTCTTGGAGATCAGCATCTGGAGAGCGCAATCTTCTCCCCGGAGATCTCAAATCAGAGCGCTTCGTTCCCAGCCCGCTACACTCCCCTCCCGTCCCCCTCCTAGGCCAGTCTTCAGAAGGAAAGAAAAAGGTATATATATAATAAGGACTTTAAAAAATATTAGTAATACTGTAAAAGAAAGCCAAAACCGATGGCAGGGGGTGGGGTGGTGAGAGGCTGAGCCAAAGCGGGTGGAATTGAAGGAATTATCAGTGCGCTTTTTCTTGGATGAAACTCGCAGGTCTCCGAGGCTTCCGAGGCTTAGCGAGGGCTTCTGGATCTTAACGTGCCTCCTGGTCCACAGAAACTCTCAGCCGTGGTTGGAACGCAAGGTGGTTTCCGCCCTCCCCGCTAATCCCTTCAGCACCAGAGCCTCTCCAGCCCGGGAAGGAGGAGGGGGCGGGGGGGAGGGAGGAGAGTGTGTCCCGAGGAGGGAGGCGCCTCCACTCCCTACCTAATCCACCCAAACTTGCTGGACTCTCCCTTCTGCTCCCAGGAAAAGCAGGCTTGTCGTGTTGAAACCGTAGCAGAGCAAGAAGGAGAGAGGAGGGAAGGGGACAAGACGTGGAGAGGTGGTGCAGAAAGACCCCCTTCCCAAATTTGCTCTCTAGCACTTGGAGGAAGAGATGGCAGCAGCTGTAGCTGCTGCAGAACGGCAGCGGGAACGGAATGCTGAAGAAGCTACCACAGAATATTAAGGGCGGGCGGGGTGTCACAGTATTCCAGCGACAACAGAAAGCAGCCAGACTGAGGGACACTCCAGTCTGAGCTGCCGTCTTTGGCGTCCCTGGGTAGGGAGCCAGGGGGCAAAGCATATGAACTATGTCTGAAATTCAAATACAACAGCTGCTGCCTCTTCTCCTTGACTTCCTGTCTGTGTCCTGGCAGCATTCTGTCATGGATAACCAAAAACATGAAGGTCCAGGAGGAGGGGAACCAGTGCAGAGCACCCTAGAAAAGGAGGTTGGGAGAGAAACAATGCGTGCTTGGATGAATACAGATCCTTGGTTCCTAGGACACACTCCGAGCCACAGAACTATAAGTAGCTTTTGCTCCTATGGCTTCTTACCGTTTCCTCTTCCCTTTAGACTGTTTGCTTATCATTCCAAGAAGGTAAAGAAAAGAAACACACAAACTAGACTTCTCTCAATCCAGTGTGAAGAACGGAGGAAAGAAAACTCATCTGATAATTAGTACTTGTAACAATCACTTTTCTGGTGACCGCTTTAGAGCTGGAAAGAGGAGAGACACACTCGGAAGGCAGCCCTGGGAGCAGTTCTGAACCAACACCCACTTTCTCTTTGCCTCAGGAATAGGCAGTAAAGTACTACAGAGACTTGCAACCAGGCAAGTGGGAGAAGTTCAGACAAGGGCTGATTACAGGGAGGCTAGACACCTTCTGCTCTAGGGAACTTATCCACAGTCTCTCCAAGGAAGCAATTAGTGCTCAGCTGTTTTTCACTGTATTTACCAATAAGCCTCTCTTGGGGAAGAGAATTTCATCTAAGAGGAGTGTGTAGATTTGGGTCCAATGCAGATATCATTGGATTTAGGATAATGTATATACTATTTAACATTAAAGAACATACTCTGTAAGCTTATTTTCCCCACCTTACCATGTTTTATATACATGAAATCTATATATATGTAATAATTACGATTATTAAAAGGAATATGCATGAATAATTTTCCCAGGAATTTGCAATCCTTAATCTCCTATGAGATAGAAAAAGTGAAGAAAAAAGGGTGTGTTAACTATTTTGCTCCATGTCTACCTTTTTTTTTCTCTCTCTCTTTTACATGTCTTTGTTCTTACATGTTTACTAAGTGTATTTAGTATTGCCATGCTCTGGCTTTAAAAGGGAAGGACATTTGCAGAGATGGATACATCTAATAAAAGGCTATTCAAGTGTTTCTTTTAAGAAATTCACCAAAATAAGTCGTATTGAAGAGAAATAGTAGCTACTCCTACCTTCCATTATTGAAGAGTGGCTATCTGGACATTTCAGACAGTACAGATTGGAATTTCCGAACGACTTTACAATTAAAGCAAACATATTTACCTAAAGCTAGTAATGAGTTTTTCAAAGAAGCAAAATGTTAAGTATAGTGACCTTTTCAATCTAGTACAACTGCCCCAAATTACATAACCTAGTTAGCTTCTTTTTTTTAATCCTCGTGATATACGTGTGTAGTATAATAATTTGAACAGAGTGAGATTAAGCTGCTTCTTATTATAGCTGTGTTAATTCTTTTCTTTCCAGGCATTTTCTTACAATTCAGGGTTCTCCCCAATTCCCTGGATTGTATAATCCAAGGGAAGGTCGGTTTTTTGTCTCCTTCGGACCCCTCCCTTCAACGCCCAGCTGCGGTTCAGCACCACGGACAAGGATCCGGCCACAGCCAGGGCGCGCGGAGAGCAAGCAGGTTCCCCTGAGCGTGGGCGCGCTGCTGGCTTCGAGAGGCTCCGATACTCTCTGCCCTTAAAAGCAGCTTTCCGCTGCCCAGCCCAAGCCACCCAAGGCGGAAAGGAAATTAATCCTCACGGCTTCCACTGGCATTAGTAACCCACATTGGAGCATGAAGCTTTTCAGCTTTTTGAGAACCAAGAAATACTCTCTCCTGATGTATTCCAACGCCTGGCGCAGCGCCTGAAACAGCGGACTCCTCAGTCCCGGGGCGTCTACTCAGAGTGTGAATTTCACAAGCCTTAAACGCTTCTGTCTGAGGTGGTTTCTGGTTTTAAGGGAGCATGGGGTGGGGGGAAGCACTTGGGCTAATCAAGGTCTTTTAGCTTCATCTCTACGTTTTCCTTTTACCTCCCCAAAACGCTGTTTAGTTGTTTACAGATAGAGGTAAGCGAAAGAAAACGCAAGAGAGCCATCTGCTGTCTTAAGCTGTGATAAAAGCGTGTGCAAAAAACCAGAGTGAAAACCGTTCAGGGCGGGTGAACCGAAATCCATACCTTGCTGTAATTCATAAAATAATGTTACACTCATGAGAACCGCCTCGGTGTCGTTCATTTCACCTTTGAATGTACAAAAACAAACAATATAGTACTGATCAGGTAGAGTGGCTCCTGACCAACCTGTTAGGCGTCTGAACTCTGATTTCAGACAGTCTCGTTCATTTCTGGATTTTGCTCCATCCTGGCTGTATAATGACCTCCAGTGAGTTGCTTCAGTTTCTCTCAGCCTCAATTTCCTCACCTCTAAAACTGAGATGATAATAAAATCTCCTTCTTAATTCTTGCGAGGTTAAATTTAGTAATGTAAAGATCCTTGTCCATTGTCTGGTACATCCTCAGTGCTTAAAAATGACAGCTATTATTGTCATGATGTCCCAGATCACTCATTTCTATCTCGGAAATTCTTTTCCAATTTCCATGTCTTTTTCAAGATCAAAATGTATGTATTCCCATGTATATTTCCTCACCTCCGAACTGGGTACTTGAAAAGATTTTAAGTAATTAGAAATGTAAAAATTATTTTTTTAAATAAAGAAGCCCAAGGTCAAACTTTGGTTCATAATTGACTAAATTTGTGAACTTAGCTCTGTAAGGCTCTTTCCCTACTCACTGAATAGAGATAATAAAAACATTTCCCTCCCTCACAGAGATTAATATGTGTGCCTATGAGAAAAGAGTTCTAAAACTGTAAAGTACCACACAAGCATTAGTTCATTGGAAGCTGATTGTTCAACTACTTCCCTGTGCTCGCAACATCTCCAGAAGATGCCATGCTCCCTTTGGCCCTCTACTTTGCATATGTTTTTCCTTCTACCTGGGACACTTTTACTGCCTCTTGCCCACACTCCCCTCGGTAATATAAAACAGTAGCTAAAATCACAATTGGAGTAAAGCAATCATAGGCTTGACTGTGCATCCTTGAGCAATTCATCTAAACCTCTCTAAGTTTCTATTTCTTCTTCTCTGTAAAATGGTCACAATAATGCAATAAGGTTATTATGAGGATTAAATAAGAACATGTATATAAAACACAGCAGTGCCTGCCAAATAGTGCAAATTCAATAAATGATAGCTACTGGTAATCATTTAACTCATCACTCAGGTCTTCATTTCTTCAATGACCAAGTCCTACATTGACACTTCTATGAAGATGTCTAGTAGGCATCTCGGGCTTAACATGGCCAAGATTAAACTCTCTTTCTTCTTTCTCAAACCTGCTTTCCAATCTGCCCCATCTCTGGAATGACATTCTTCCATTCTTCTTCTTCCTCCGGCCCCAAAACTTGGGCATCAAACTAATCTCATTTCTTTCTTTAGTACCTCTTATGTAATTCCTCAACAAAATGTATTCACTCTACCTTCAAAATAGATCTACCATAAGATCACTTCCCACTATATGCACTGCTACCCACCACCACGATCTTTTGGACTATTACAATAGCAGCCTGATTGGTCCCTTGGGATTCACCCTTGATCTTCTTTGATATGCCTTCAACAC